CACTAATAAAATTTTGTTGGAGCATAGCCTCACTCATTTATTTACATATTGTCCTGGCACTGCTTTCCTTTGCATAGCAGTCACAGAGTTGTGATAAGGACTGCATGATCTTCAAAGTCCAAAATACTTGCTACTTTGTGGAGAATGTCTGCTGAACCCTCTTCTAAGCAACTTAGATGCTCACTTTTGAATACCAGAGTATCTCACTTCTGCAGCTTGCAGCATTTGGTACCTCTACCCTACCCCAATTCCAATTCCAAAGGTTCTGTGTCCCACCACTGTAGCCAATGTCTATGCTAGATGATCTGGTTTGATAAGCAGACCCTGTATCTTATCCTTCCCACACATCTAGAGCAGAGGATATTGCCACGATTGCCTCTGGCAGCACCAAATCTAGACCTGACCTCTGACTCACTGGTACACTCTGAACACCACCCTTTCCTCTGTCTAGTGTGCTGAGTAGGGATGGCTTCCTCTCTGTCAATGCTTAGATGGCAATGAGTTACAAATGGACTGTGTAGTCTAATATTTGACATTTCTTATGCTGTATGTAGATGTTAATTTTTAAAAGATAGCTCATATTTATGTTACTCTAAATGTAAATAATTATTTTTTTAAATCATGCTTTCTACAGTTGACCAAGTGACACACTGGCAAAATCACATGGCCTGTGTTGTCCCTCCACTCCCAAAGTTGCAAATCTACTAGGTTTCTCAGGATCTCTGTTCAATCATTAAGGTACCCTCATGACCCAGTGGGAGAGAAAAAGTCAACCCTTTGGTGGAGAGGTTCATGAAGATGCTAATATGGGCCTCAAGAGTCTGAGAAAGTGTCCCAGAGTAGACTTCTGTCTCAGTCTCTAATATGGAGACCCACTAGCTTAACAATTCTTAAACTGCCAACTGTTAGCTCCTGGTTCACCAACCAACACAAAATCTAGCACTGAAGAACTGAAAACATCACAAAGAGCCAAGCATGGTGGTAGATAATTCCAGCACTCAGGAGGCTGAGGCAGGAAGGCCACAAGTTCAACACCAGACTTGGCTACACAGACCTTGTCTCAGAAAAAAATGAATAAAAACTAATTTAAAGAAATTCACAGAGAATGGCAGTGTAGGATTCAGTGACAGTGAGTAGGTCAACAGCATAGTTAGTTTGCAGTCCAGCTCTGAGGTCATGACAGACTAGAAACAATTCTCCCCCACTTACTGGTTTGTAATCAGAAAGCTAATGACATTTTGCCATTTCATGAGAAAGTTATTGAGAAGAGTGAACTGGTACTTTTAGCCAAATTAAAGAACGACAAAGTATCCACTGGGAAGACATGCAGTGATAAATGAGGATATAAATTCTGTCACTTTTCTCATGAACTCTGACTAGTTTGATCTTTTCTTTCTATATTTTCTAATCCTAACTTTCATTTCCATTTATCTGCTTTTTAATATAGTTCTCTGTTCTTTTTTTCTTTCTTTAAAAATTTATTAGCATTACTTTCTCTAAAAAATAGAGCCAGGCTGGTGTGGTGGCACAAGCCTTTAGTCCCAGCACTTGGAAGAGGCAGGCAGATCTCTGTGAGTTCGAGGCTAGCTTGGTCTACATAGCGAGTTCCAGATCAGTTGGGGCTACAGGGAGACCTGTCTCAAAAAGACCAAAAAGAAAAAAATAATATGATTACCACTGAAAAACTTTGTATAGGTTGGAGAATTTGGGAGGGGAATGAATGGCAAACTTTCATTACAGCAACAGTAACAAATTTCACATTATTGTTGAAGTTTGGTAGTACAGTTTTGTCAGTAATATGCAAATATTACACTAGATATATAGAATTGCAAATTTACATATTTACATAAAACACAATTTCATATTTTTAGTTTGAGAATTTTATCAGTGTAATTATTACAATATATTTTTTTTAAACTTCCCATACTGTGATTTATACGTTCAAGGAGGTGTTTTTTATTTTCTGTAGGGCATAGGTGAAGACATACTGGGGCTATAGAAGAGTAACAGAAAAATAATGGAAAACCTCCTGGTGCCTGGGAATGGGAGAGGTCCAATATCAAGGCCTGGATGCCTAGGACCATGTGTGGACTCAAGAGCACAGCTGGCCCTCAGGGGAGGTGGGTTGTTCTAGAGAATTAAGTCATCCTAAGACTAGAATCTACAAATGACAGAGACTTCCCGTCCCCAGCATAACCCTGACAAAGAGGCAAAGCCACTGCCATGTACAACCTGCGACTTCAGGTGAGGGGGTTATGGGGAGTGCAGCTACTCAAAGAAGACAAACTGCTGCCCAACATCGGGACGTCTTCCATCCTCCACTCTGCTCCATCATTAGGCCACCACCAGAGGAATGTGGAACCCTGGCTCATGGCAGGGGACTACAGCTCCAGTTGATGGGAGAGGACCAAGCTTGCTTCCAGAAGGGGATGTCAGCTCCAGGTTGATGGGAGGGGACCACAACTCTGGCCTGTGGAAGACCCCAGCTCCAATTCACAGGAGAGAACTGCTACTCTGGCTTGTGGGAGGCGACTCCAGTTCCTGCTCACAGGAGGGGACCACAACTCCAACTCATGGGGTGGGGGGCACAGCTTCAGATTCACAGGAGACACAGTTACAGCTCATGGGACAGGACCACAGCGTCAGGTTCATGGGAGGTGATCACAGTTTCAGGCTCACAGGAGGAGTCACAATTTCAATACACTGGTTCCTATTATTGTCCTGTCTCCAATGTTCTGTCTACAGGATTATAGTTGTGTTAAAGCTAGAGCATTTTGGCTCTGTGCAGCAAACAGAGATAACAGTTACTTGTTGGCTTGAATTTTTCACTACAGGGACATCAATATTGGAGAAAGCCACCTTTGGCTTTTGTTCAGGAGATGGGTTTTTTGTTTTCATGGTGAAGTTTCCGGTTGCTTTTGGATTATTTTATATAATTTTAATGATCACTTGAAAGCTTATGTTTTTCATTTCTATATTTCTTGTATCTCTTCCCGCCCCTTCCCTTCCTTTGTATATTTGATACTAGGGCCTGATACTTGTGAAGCAAATGCTTTACCACTGAGCCTACATTAATGCCTTGATTTTTTCCTTCTTTCTTTCTTTCTTTCTTTCTTTCTTTCTTTCTTTCTTTCTTTCTTTCTTTCTTTTCTCTCTCTCTCTCTCTCTCTCTCTTTCTTTCTTGCCAAGTCCTTTCTCGCCTATGCCCAACAAGTGGTCCTCATCCTCCTTGAGGCTGACCACCTGTCTTAGTTTGTTCTTCATTGCTGTGACAAAACACTCTGACCAGTACCAACTTGGGGAGGAAAGGGTTTATTTGTCTTACAACTCCCAGGTCACAGTTCATCAGGGAGTCAAAGGTAGGAACTCAGGGCAGGAACCTGGAGGCAGGAGCTGGAGCACAGGCCATGGAGGAACGCTGCTTACTGGCTTGCTCTCCTGGCCCCTGCTCAGCCTGCTTTCTTATGCAACACAGGCCCACCTGCCCAGGGGTGGCACCACCCACAGTGGGCTGGGCCCTCCCACATCACTCATCAAGAAGATGCCCTTCAGATATGGCCACAGGCCAGTCCAATAGAGGCAATTTCCCGATTGAGGCTCCCTCAACCCAGGTGTGTCAAGTTGACACTAAAGCTATCCAGGACACCACCCTAATAAAAATGGATCTTAACTGAAGCACCACTAGCTTGCTTGAAGGCAATAAATATACTTCAGTATTTATACTGAGTTCTTTGGACCTTTTTCTGCAGTTGCATATGGATTGTTTCCAACCATTGGTACCATACAATCAGTGTAGAAATAACCAATCTTAAACATGTTCAGCATAGAAATAATTAGGTTCATTTCAAGCTCGCCAACATTTCTGACAGATGCTGTAGGCATCAGGAGGGTAAAGTTCATTACGTTGGAGAACAAGTCCCTACAGGGAACAAACATGACTGCAGTAGGCCAGAGGGAAGACCTGAGTGCTGGCTTGGTGAGAATCTTGGCCTCGGGAAGGCAGAAACCAGTACCAGTTCTCCATTCTTGTGGGCATTCCTGTTCTGCCTCCCTGAACCAAACTCAACTGTCAATAGTTCCAAAGTGTCACATTCTTGTCTCTTTATCTGGACAAATATGGTGGAAAAAAAAAATAGCCAAGATATTTAAGCCTTATATAACCAAATATAGTTATTTCTTGGTTGTTAAAGTTATTTGAGCAAGGAAACAGAAGGGGGTTAGAAAGTTCATTTTCAATTCAAAAATCTCCTTTGTCTAAATGAGAGTTGTTACAAGATTCCCAGTAGATATCTGAAATCATAGATGCTGAGGCAAGATGGCTCAGGCAAGGGCTTTTGCTGCCAAGCCTGGTGACCTGAGTTCGATCTCCAGATCTTATATGGTAGAAGGAGAGAACAGGAGAGAACCAACTCCTGCAAGTTGTCCTCTGACTTCCACATGTGTGCTATGGCACCCGCATGCTTCTACACACACACACACACACACACACACACACACACACAAGCACACACTTTTTTTTCTGAGACAGGGTCACACTATGGAGCCTTAGCTGGTCTGGAACTAACTATATAGACCAGACTGGCCTTCAATTCACAGAGATCCACCTACTCTTGCTTCCCAAGTGCTGGAATTAAAGGTATGGATACCAAGCCCAGCTTTGTACACATACACAATTTTTAAAAATGTTTTAAAAAGAAACAAACTATGGATATTACCAAACCATATATACTTACGATTTTAATTTATAAATTAGGCACAGTAAGAGATTAATAAAACAGAATACTTATACTACACTAAAATAAAACTTATGAGAATGTGGTCTCTTCCAAAAAATGTTACTTGAACACAACTCTGTGAAAACGGAGACAACTGACCTGGTAATACACAGCTAAGTGACCAAAGTGGCTACTGAAGAGCAGGGAGTATACACAACCCAGATGCGCCGGACAAAAGGAAATTCACTCCTAGGATGAGGCAAAATTTCATCACATTACTCAGAATGGAGTATAACATAAAACTTATGAATTGTTTATTTCTAGAATTTTCCACTCATCTTTCCATACTGCAGTTAAACAGGCAAAAACCATGGAACTTAAGCATAGGTAGGAAGGAGCTACTTACACAGAGGGAACATAGAAAGACAGTCCTGATACTCTTCCCCTTACTGTGCTGTCATTTCAACTTTCTTCAACTCAACCCAAACTATCAGTTGTATTTATATAAAAGATTGTTTACAAAAACCAAGATAAGAGCTGGATGTATCAACTGAGAAAGGTGGCCAGCAAAATTTCCACCCAGGTACTCAGCAGGGCCCTCTCCTTACTGAGAAACAAGAACAGAAGACTGTCTCCAAACAAAAGACTTCTTAAATGGCAGCACCCTTACAACCATATGTTCATGAATTAACCAAAGCCACCCCTAGTCTGTAAAAGGCAAGTACTACAGGCAGTAGAAATTCAACCACTGATCCAGAGAGCTTTCAAGATATTGTTTCTCCCCTAAGTGTCTATATCACTCATTAAACAGGTTGTAAACCAGTAACCTACAGACCAACCTACAGCTGCCTAAGTGTCTGTGTGTGCGCGCACACACTCTTGAGTAACCAAGTGCATGTGGGTGAGGAGGCCAGACAATGACATGGTCTTCTTGAATTGTTCTCTACCTTATTTTTTGAGATAGTGTGTCTCATTGAACCTGGAGCTCAATGGTTCAACTGGCTGGCCAGCAAATCCCAGAGATCCCTGTCTCTGTCTTGCCAGGACTTCACCAGGATGCTGGTGACCGAGCCAGTGCTCATGCTTGCACAGAAACTGTTTTACTGGCTGAACCATCTCCCCTGGTGCTTTAAGTCTTTTAAGTTTTTGATTTAGCTGACAACATTTCACAGACATATCTGGATTTCCTGATGTTGTAAAAAAAAAAAAAATTAGAAAATCTGTCTCCACAAGGCAACAACCAAAGCTAACAATTGTTAGACGGTGTGTGTGCTCCTTGCTGTCCCTGCCACTGCTTTACACCCTGCCAGCTTCACTCGCTTCTGTCATCCACCCACCATGTACTCCTGCTTATCCCTCCTAACCATGTTTAATGTATTTATTTTTATTCTATGTGTAAGAGTGTTTTGCTTGCATGTATGTAAGTGTACCCATACTGTACAGTACCCACAGAGATCAGAGAGGCTGTTGGAACTCCTGGAACTGGAGTTATGAATGGTTGTTAGCCTCCACATGGATACTGGGAACAGAACCTGGGTCCTCTGTAAGAGCAGCCAGTGCTCTTAAATGTTAAGTCATCTCTCCAGCCCCATAACCACGTTCTTTCTGACCAATGGGACATTCCTGATATCACACAGACTTTCCTGTTGGATGAAACAGTTCCTGGCTAGAGACTCGGTCCTTTAGTTCTCCTTTTCCAATTACTGGCCCAATCTGCTGATCCTGGGCTCTCTTCCATCTTGGCAAAGAGACCTATGGTGGAGAGACTTCCAGCAGACTTTTCCACATTACAGCCAAACTGCCAGTAAGTAAGACTTTCATTGTTTCATTCTCCATTCAAAGCCCTTAGTGGTCATGATTCTCCAGCTCATCCTACCTGGCTCTTCAGCAGTCAGTTCCAAGTGAGGAGTTAGGAGAATCCATGTAACTAAGTGAGTGGCATTGGAGCCAAATGCCCAATAGTCTTCACTGTTCCACATGCTTGTTGGCTTCATCGTCTCTGCTTTGATCCTGATTCGGTATCTCTAAACCCAGACGGCGCAGAGAATGTACAAAGAACTGAGGAAGCTTGCAGACCAAGAGGAGTTCCTCCTTTCTGGAGCCCAGAGCAGGCAGGGTGAGCTGCTGGGCATGCAGGTGAAGGGGGATGTAGCGGGCTTTTGATTGCTGCAGCCCCAGCTTCTTCAGGGTGCCAGCAGAAAGCTTCTATAGAAAGCAAAAACAAACTCATGAGAGCAAAATCAACTCTCCATCCTTCACTAGCAAGGGAACCAGTGCTAACCCCTGGAAGACCCAGGAATGTCTAGGCCACTGCAGGGACATGTCTAGGAAGGGCTTAGAGGCCAGGTAAGAAAAATACAGTCAAACCAAAGAAGATTTTATTGACAAAATTTTCTGGCCTTTGAAAAGAATAGGCTGTAATATCAAAGAATAAAAATGATTCTTGGGGCTAGAGAGATGGCTCAGTGGTTAACACCACTGGCTGCTCTTGCAGAGGATCTGGGTTCAGTTCCCAGCATCTACATGGAGGCTAACAACCATTCATAACTCCACTTCCAGGAGTTCCAACAGCCTCTTCTGACCACTGTGGGCACTGTATAACACGGGTGCACTTACATACATGCAGGCAATACACTTATACACATAAAATAATAAAAACAATTAAAAAAAAATAAAAATGATTCTTCCTCTTTTTTAGATAGCATGAAAGACAATTTTAAGATTTCTGCCCTTAGCACAGTATCCCAACAAAATCTGAGTACACAAATGAACCGGGAAGGTCTGACAACAGCTCTTGCAGCTCCTTAAGGACAGTAACTAACTACTGTCATGCCTGTAAAAGTTAGAAGTGTAGTTCCATGTCCCGAGACAATGAAGACCTCTTTGTCATCACCCACTTCAGGGTTTTAACAAAAGGAAAGCATAAAAAGAAAGTATACCACAAGATTTTTTTTTTCCTCTTCTAAACCCTTCGAACAATATAACGTTAGAAGCCACCAACATCACATATATTGCTATTCTGTTAAAGACACTTAACGGCTGGGTGTGATGGCAGACACCTTTAGTCCCAACACTTGGGCCTAAACTGAGCCATCTCTCTAGCCCCAAGAATCATTTTTATTCTTTGATATTACAGCCTGTTCTCTTAGAAGGCCAGAAAATTGGAGGCAGAGGAAGGTGGATCTCTGTGAGTTTGAGGTCAGCATGGTCTACATATCAAGTTCCAGGTCAGTTGGGACTACAGGGAGACCCTGTCTCAAAACACACACACACACACAGACACACAGACACATACACACACACACATACACACACGACACTTCAATGCAACATTCTAAGAAACCCACACCAACTCTAGTGGATGTCCTTTCCCTAAATGTGGGTGTGTGTCTCTCCCTCTCTCAATGCTTATGTTTGTATCAACAGTAAAGCCATTTTATAAACTCCCAACTTTGCTTCAAAACAAACATATATAAATAAGAAAAGAAACAAAGCGAGAGAGATGGGGGGGCCCGCAAGCTCTCTCCCTTATTCTGTTAAATACATTGGATTAAACCAGTATTACCTGGGGGGCCAGCTTATTCCAGTCTGAGTACTTGTGATCACCAAGGATTGGACAATCTAATCCAAAAGACAAGTGTACTCGAAGCTGATGTTTTATACCTTAGGAGACAGAGAAGAAAAAAAAAAACAAAAAAAAAAAACTTATCAGGTGCTAAGGACACAACACTATGGTACTGCTGGCATCAGCTTCAAATCAATTAACAGTAAACTGGCAGCCCAGCTGCAATACGCAATACAGAATAAATAATGTAAGGAGCTACAAGCTACACAGTACCAACCAACTTAGGAAATGACCATAAATATTCTTGATGGCCATTATCATGAACTTGATGTTTACCATTACTCACTTTTATTATTTTATTATATAATGATAAATAGTGTTTTGCACATTTCCTTCCTTTTCTTTTTTGCAATGCTGGGGATTGAACCAACCCAGGGCCTTGCATGCCCTGAGTCAAGTGCTCTGCAACTAAGCTGTATTTCCAGCCCCACATTTCTTAATTACAGCAAAATATAAAATTCTTGTTTTACATATGGAGTTCAGTATACTTAAATAGGAGTTATGTTCAAATTGTTCTGCACCCATCAACATGATCCATCTCTAGAAACTTCTCATTCTTGAAAACTGGAATCCACTGACACAATGACTGCATTACTTCCTGACTCCCTTTACCCCTAGTTTTTGGCAAGCTTCATTCTACTTTCTCTATGAAGCTGCTCACTAGATATACACCATACAAGAAGAATCAACTAGCACCCACCCCTTGTGTCTAGCTTATTTCATTTAGCATAATGTCTTCAAGGTTCACCCATGTAGCACATATTGGAATTGCCTTTAACTCTTCCAAGGCAGAAAATAACATTTTTTTGTCCATATACACACACATTTTATTTCTCCATTCATTCATCAGTGGGCGCTTGGGTTGTCTCCATCTCTGGGCTTCTGTGACTAATGTTGCTATAAACGCAAGGATGCAAATGTTTGCTTTTTTGTGTGTACATACCCAGCAGTGGAATTGCTGGATCACTTGGCAGTTTAATTTTTTTTTTAAAGAAATGCTTTGCACATTTTAAAATAAAGGTATTCAGGGGCTGGAGAGATGGCTCAGCGGTTAAGAGCACTGACTGCTTTTGCAGAGGACCCGGGTTCTATTCCCAGCACCCACATGGCAGCTATGAACCGTCCTTAACTCCAGTTCCAGGGAAATCTGAAGCCCTCTTCCAACCTCTGCAGCATTGCACGACACGGGTGCAATCACATACATGCAGGCAATACACTCATACACATAAAATAAAAATAATAAAATATTAGAAATTAATTAATTAATTAAAGGTATTCAAACTATATCCTCCTAAAACTGAGCACAAGTGGCACATGCCTGTAATCCCAGCACTTGGGAGACTGAGGTAGAAGGATCACAAGTTCCAGGCCAGACTAGGATACAAAATAAGACCCTGCACAAATAAGCCGTATTCTGTTTCCCACAATCATCCCTCTGGAGACTCAGGCCTCAGATCAGGACCAGAAACAGAGGGTCACAGAAGTCAGCTGAACTCAGCCCTCACACACAGTACCAGTACCAGTGGCTCAGAATAAGGGTAGGGCCCAACACAAGCCCCTGGACAAAGCATGGCAGTCACATCACAATGAAATGGGGCACCCTCACCTGTAACAGGTTGCAGCTCCAGGAGGGCAGAGGACACAGTGCTACTAAGTACCCGGTACTGAGTTACAGCAACATGAGCATCTCGGTTGGCCCGAACCTTCACCATTTTCCCACTGTCCATACGGTAGCTTGGGGACAGCGTCATCTGAAACCAGAGAAATCAGGATACGATTCCCAAGAAAGGACAGAAACCCACACCTCAGGGAGGCAGCTAACCTACCTTGTAATGTTGCTGATGGCCTTGTACCTCCTTCTCGATGATGGGGATATCCACAACTCCTGCAGAGGGCACGGGGACACGCACAGTGACAGCCCTGGGGGTGATACAGATTGCTGCTAAGCTATATAACCCAGGGAGGGACTCCTGGGACTTGGCTGCTTGGAAGCTCTCACTGGACCTTCTGTACTATCCCTCTTACAGCTTCCTGTCTATAGGTGAAAGAGACATTCAGAATGGGTCACTGAATTGTGGCTGTGGTTGCTGTGACTTCCATGACCTAACAAATTCTGTGAGGTTGTTTTTATTAGATTCATTCATTCAGATATTTGTTTATTTAGTATGGAATTAGAACCCACTATCTTTTATAATTAAAATACGAACACGATACAAAACCCTATTTCCTGATTCTCTTTTAATTGTACATATCCACAAAAGACCATGTTTTAATTTTTTCCAAAGTATTCTACAATTAGCATGTATAACTGTAATAGTAAAAGAGATCAGCTTATAAGTATCTAGCTCTCAGATTAAGCACTAAACCATGAAAATCATGTGGGACCCTCCAATCATTACAGTAGTGAAATGGCAATACTAACTCCATTTTGTTCTAGCTGACTTTTGCTTTACCCTGTGGTTTTGCCCAGCCATTCCCACTGTGGCCAGCCAGGTAGAACACCTCATGTAGGCAGCTTCAGGAAGTAGTTTCTACAATATTGGGAAACTTACAAGTAGCCAGGTAGTACATCCAGGTAGCACGTCCTCCATCCCAGCTATACCTGCATCTCTATGGCGCCTGTTCTGCATTCTGAGAAACTTGTTTTTTCCTAACCAAAACTTTCTGTTAATTGAAAATCTCTGTTAACTGACCTGCCCCTGGTCTGGTGTAACTATGGTTATTAGCTTTACCCATCATTGCAGTTTTAAACTTTATAAACCCTGCCCTGTTTCTCCTCAGGGTCGAGAGTTCTCTTGGGCATGAGCCCCCTCTCTAGCTAACTAATGAAGGACTTCTAATTCAACTATCAGTATGTGGTGTTCCTCTGCACAGTTACACTCAGTATTACAGTAGTTCTTAAACTTAACTGTATATTCTAGTTTTCTGTGGAGCTTTTTATACTTGTGTTTTGTTTTATGACACTAAAGATTAAATTCAGGGCCTTACACATGCTAGTTGTTCTAGCTCTACCACTAAACTTTTGAAAACTTTGAAAAATCTAAATGCTAAAACCCACAGCCACCAGACATGAATCAGAACACCTGATGGGTGGGGTGGGTCATAGACACACAAGATTTTTAAAGGACTCCCTAAATCACAAAGTTTCTGCAAAATCTCTACAACAGAAAGGATTAACATCTCAAACATAGAATATTTATAAATCAAATATAAAACCATAACCTAATAGCTGAAAATAGTCAAATGAGAAATGAACAATCTATTCTCAGAAAGAGAAAGTTAAACAGTCAGCAAACATAAAACCCCACCTGAGTGGCAAGCTCTTAAAAAATGCTTTGGGCCAGGCATGGTAGGCACTCAGGTGGATCTCTCTGAGACTGAGGCCAGCCTGGTCTCAGGGTTGTATAGTGAGACCCTGTCTCAAAAAAAACCCCAAAAACAAAAACAAAAAAGCTTTGATTGGCACAGAGGAGGTAAAACATTTAACACTGTTGGTGGGAGCCCAAATTGACATAACCTTTTTGAGAGCAGTTTAGGTAATATTAAAATTTTAAACATGCATACCATTAAAATCAGCAATTTTGTTTTAATTTATTTGCACACATGTGTGTCTATTTGAAACAAGGTCTCCCTTGTAGCCCCAGCTGGCCTGTAACTCACTATTTAGATCAAGTTGGCCTCAAACTCACAGAGATCCACCTGCCTCTGCCTTCTGACTGCCAGGATTAAAGGCATGCACCATGTCCAGCACAATTCTGCTTTAAGGAATACACTCTAATATATTTTTTATTTATTATTTTTATTTTATCTGTATAAGTATTGCTTGCATGTATGTGAGTGCACCTGAGTTATGCAATGAATGCCTGGGAGGTCAGAAGAGGGCATCCGATTCCCCTGGAACTGGAGTTAAGGACGGTTTGTAGCCATCATGTGGGTACTAGGAATCGAACCCAGGTCCTCTGCAAGAGCAGTCAGTGCTCTGAGCCATCTCTCCAGCCCCAGGAATACATTCTAAAATCACTGCTAAGGAACAAGGTGTGGTGATACATATCTATAATCCTAGCACTTGAGAGGTGAAGACAGGAGGATCAGATCAAGGTCATCTCAGCTACATAGAAAGTCTGAGACCCTGTCTCAGAGAAACCAAACAAGTGGGGCTGGAGAGATCACTGCGGTTAAGAACACTTGCTGCTCTTGCAGTTCTCAGCAGCTACGTGGTGGCAAACAATCATCCATAACCCCAGTTCTAGGGGATCAGATGCCCTCTTCTGGCCTCTATGAGCACTGTAGACAAAGGTACACTAACATGCATGCAGGCAAAACACTCAAATTCATAAAGTAAAACAAAACAAAACAATTCTTAAAAAACCAAAACAAAACAGAGGCCAGTAAAGGCACTTGCTGCCAACCATGAAGAAGTGAGTTTGACCATGAACCCCTTTGGTGGAAGGAGAACTGACTCCCACCGTTGTCTCTAACCTCCACACATGTACAGTGATACACGTGTGCCAAGATGCATGCGCATATATACAAACTTAAAAAACAAAACCACTGAACAAAAAAGAACACAAGGGGCTGAGGAGATGGCTCAGTGGGTAAAGTGCTTGCTGCACAAGCATGAGAACCTGAGCTTGGATCCCCAAGCCCAGCAGTGCACATCTGTAACCCCAGGGTTTGGGGGGTAACAGGCAGGTCCGGAGACCTTGTCACAAAAAATATCTGTGCAAGGATGTGTACATCTGCATACTTACACGCATGCGCCTCACACATATACACACTCACAAACACAGAGAACCACTATCTTGTCATTCATGAGGCGGCATCATATACTCTTTATATCCTTATGAGTCCTTCTACAGTCCTTGGATTAATAGTTCCTGTAGCATGATGGAAGAACAGAGGAAACAAATGCCTCCAGTTATTCCACCTCTATTGCCACTAACAGATCTCATACCAGTATTTCTTTGTCACCTGGCGGGTTCTAAACAACTCCTGGACCTGGTGTGCCACTTCCTTCTCCCAAGCCAATACCATTACACCTGTGGTTTCCTTGTCCAGCCGGTGGCACAGATGCAAGGGCTCTGCTTTGTGGCCATGAAGCATCTTTGCCAAGGTGGGCAGTATATCACTGATGCAGAGCTTGACTCCAGGGCCACCTATGAAAGAAAAAGCCAGAAGCTGGAGTTTTCACCAAAGAAGTCTTCTTGGGAGAAAAGTCCTTACTACATAAATTGTCACCATTTTCTATAGTTGTACTACTAAGTATTAATATGCCCTGTGATCTCAATTGCTGAAAATAAATCTCAGGCTCCCAATCCAGACTACTAAGTCAGAACCTGTATTTTACCATGCTACCAAAAGACTCATAAGGAATTAAAGTTTGAGAAACACTGTCCTAGAGCATGTAGCTTTCTCTCCAGATTCTGCAGGACCAAGAAGCTCTACTGAAGTCTTACAGAAGAGAATGTTAAAAGCCTGTTACGAAAGGAAAAGAAAATCATGAAAAGTATTTGACAATACTTGCTTTATTTCTCCATACTTGCACCAAAAGAGCTAAAGTATTTACTCTAAAATACTTTTAGTTAAAATATCTCTTTTCCCCTGCAAATCTTGGACAAATACATTTTCCTTTATCAATCCTGCCTCACTTCAGCTGTGTGTCATCACTGCATTTAGCAGTATCTGAGTGTCCATTTACATTCCAGACACTTTGGGGTTTTATGCTAGGTACAGTCCAATATACAAACTGCTCTCTTCTGTCCTCATATATTATTTCCTCTTTCCTACTTTTGTTCTTCCTCCACCTCTTTCTTTTTGAAATGATATCTTGCTGTTGCTGAGAATAACCTGGAACTCCTGATCCTCCTGCTTCAGCCTCTCCCAGAACCTTGTTTACAGCTATCTGGCACCCAGCTTACTTCCCTGGTTTTGATGGAAAATAACCATTAGACGATCAAGCATACATCTTTTTGTTTTTCTCTATACCAATCTCTGTGGGGGGGTCTGCAGACAGCTCACTGTCAGATGTTTTGGAAATGGAAACTTGGACACTATGTGTCTGTCTTACGTAGTCATGTATGTAGGATCTCACTTACATAGTTGTCACATATATATGATGATACTCTACAAAGGTCTAACTAACTTTAATGCAAAAGCACCTCATATGTGATGCTTCAGATTAGCTCTTAGTTGTAGTAGAAAGCAGCAACAGGTTCCTCTCCTTTGCCTACATGGTTCTTACCATGGACAGGAAGACCATAGGGCTTATTGATGACCACAAGGTCCTTGTCCTGATAGAGAATCCCACGGCTCAGCGCCTTAGCAAGCACGTTGGGATGAACTCGCTGCAGCTGCTGTGTGAATCGCACCAGTTCTTGCACCCTCCGCTGAACCGGGCTTGTAGGCACCTAAGGAGAGAGGACGGTGGGAAAAGGTTGATGAGGAAGTGAAGCACTGGGCAAGAACTTCAATGAGATCTGGGTGAGAACTGGGCCAGACAAATGACTGTGCCTTGGCATTAGACTCCTGCCTTCCTCAACTAATTTGAGAAGATGCCTGTCTCACCTGCATTCCCACGCGGTGGTTAGGTCCGAGCCTGGGAGCAACAGACGGACCCACAAATACACTGTCCCACTACTGCCTTCTTCCCTCTGCGGTCTCCCCATTGCCACACGATGTATCCTCAGTACTGACTAACTTGCTGCCGAGAACTCGCCCACCACACCCCTGGCCTGCCAAAGCCGTGAGCGCGCTGCCTCCCGGGACTTGTGGTCTTTCAAGGCTCACCGGCAGTTTCTTAGTCTTTGATTCCTGTTTCTGAGCTCGGAGCTTCTCCGCCAATTGCTGGGCATTCAGGGGCCTAGAGGCAGTAGCGGTGGAGAAAAATGGCTTGGAGCCGACAGCGATCAGCTTCCCGGGACGCCAGCTCGAACTCAAGACTCCGAAACCACGCGCAGCGCACTTGGGCACCGCCATCTTGCCAAGGGCGGGGCCAGCCCCCACGTGACGGACAGCGCGGAGAGGAGGGAGTAAGCGGGCCCTGAGCGTCACGTGAACGGGCGGGGGCCGGCCAGTCACGTGGGCGGTTTGCGCTCAGTGCGGCTGCGCCAGCCGGTAGCTGGAGCTGGAGCGGTGGCGTTTGGAGAAGACTCGGTGAGTGTGTGGGGCAGCCAGGCTGGGACTGGGAAACCCGGTGCTCAACGGTTTTCGCGTCGTCGGGATTTCCGTTCTTGGACCGCGCTGCCCCGGGAAACGTTTCTCCCTGGGGAGGCGACCCCGCTCAAACACCTCCCCGCCCCCGCGCCCTCCGGGCAGCGCAGCTGGGGGACATTGGCTGCTCAGCCTTCCTGGCACCTGCCTCGTCCCTCTTGACAACCGCGTCCGCGGCCAGTCCTCCGTGGGACGTGTACCCTCTGCTTCCCTGGCCGCTCGCCCTCCGGAGATGCCGGGATTTCCAGCCTCCCCACCTCCCACTTTCCGACTCCCAGCCTCTTTGTTTCACGTCGTAACCTGTCCCCAAGGGTGACGGCCCCTTTGCCTTCATCCAGGACTCCAGCCCATAGTTCCTGCCGAGAGAGCGCCGCGGTGCAGTCCTTCCCGAGAGTTCGTTTCTTAGGTCTCCTGTCCATTCCCTCCACTTTGTCCAGAGAAAGGGCGGAAAGGAATACCTTCTTTTTTTCCCTTCGGTAGCCCCAACCCTCCCTCCCTTTCTTAAAAGGGATGGTGTTGGGACGCCCATGCCCCAACCGCAAAGGGCATCTGGGAATAGGAACATCTGTTTGAGATGGTAATCTTGAAAACACCTTGGAGTACCTTGCATACTATTTGCTGAGAAAGCCATTGAGAACTAACTAGTGGCTCTGCCCTCTGATAGCAAGAGAGCTGCCTATCGACTTGGTGAAAAAGTAGTTGAATTCGGTTTAGGTCCTTCTTCCAAAAGGGATTAGCAGAGAGAAACCACATTGAGTTCGAAACAGGGAGGTAGCTTACGGAAGACTCAAAGTTGAAAGATTTAAGTTTTGTGTGATAGGTAAGGTTGGGAGCCATTGAAACTTGCTGAAAAATTCCTTGAAAGTGCATTCTAGGCAGGAATCTGGCAATGCAATTCAGGACAGCTAGAAAAGAGGAGGTTTGTAGCCGTGTAACTACCTAGGCTGGTGCAACATAGGTGATCATTAATGAGGTCATGCCCCATTCCATGGTCTTTTCCTCCTGCTCAGTACAGTCCTTGAATTGACTACCAGTTATACAGGTCAAGATGTACAGCTGACTGCTGCTGTTGATGTGAGTTCCCTGAAGACTTTTTTTTTTTTTGTCTTTTTTGAGACAGGGTCTCCCTGTAGCCCGAGCTGTCCTGGAACTCCCTATGTAGACCAGGCTGGCCTTGAACTCACAGATCCGCCTGCCTCTGCCTCCCAAGTGCTGGGACTACAGGCTTGCACCACCACACCCCGGTGTACTTTTTTTTTTTTTTTAATTCCAAAGTCGGTATAAAGTAAGCTCATAAATATTTATGTGGTGTGTTTCTCAGCATTTTGACTTGTTTTATTTCTGTCAGTTTTTTACCTAAAGAAGGAAGGCAAAAAGTGGAAAGACTTGTGTTTCTGTAATAATAAATTATCTGGATACAGAATTCCAAGGGAGTTTTGGGAAAAACCCTGTTTGTTTTATTAGTGGGTCTGTCTTCACCTTGTGAGTAATAAATTCACAAGTAGAACATCTGTAAAAGTTGAGAAATTCCACTCAAAGAATTTTTACTCTTTCCTGATATGCTCCAGATCCAGGGCCCAATTCACTAAACAGTTGCATATCACTTGTTAGCCCCATTTCCTAAAACATGGACAGAACATGGACACGGACCTAAATTTGCATCATTACATTAATTACAAACCTGTTTCCGGTATAGAACCCTTCTGGTTTGCTGGTGAAACCTGTTTCTACCTTTACTTGCCCTACGTCATTCAAGAACTAACATTCGTTTTACAGAATTGGCAGGAAACAAAAGGAAGAAACAACTCAGATGTCATTGCTAGTGACACAGAGCTGTGTTCTTGGTTTCGGGTTAACCCAAGGCACACACCCTAATCTCTGAAAATAAAAACGCTGGCCACTTTCTCTCAAGAAGGAACTTTCAGGTTTTTCTGGATGAAATTCTCTTAAGAATGTAAATAGTTCAGTTTTCTTATCTCTATATGTCTTTACATTTTTCTCTTCTCTTTGTGACTACAGAAGTTACAATTTCCTTAATGTTTCTCCTATGAATCTAGGCACTTGATTTAAAATAGAGCTACTCTGAGCATAAAGAATTCATACAAATATATCCGCCTTTCTGGCTTTTAAATCTGTATTACCTTCTTCCTCTTCCTCATTCAGTTCCTGCTATTTTAGGCGGTGTTCTATTTCCCGCCCAATTTCATGTTGTCTTTTTGATTAGAGGTACTTCTTTTGCAAAAAGTTTCCTAGGTTCAGGGAAGGAAATAGAAGGAATGGAATACTCTTAGTGGATTTTCTTCTGTTTGTTTTTGGTTTTTGTTTTATTTTGAGACCAGGTCTCCCTGTAGCCCCAGCTGGCCATGAACTATGTAGACCAGATTGATCTCGATCTTACATAGATCTACCTACTCCTGCCTCCCCAGTCCTAGGGTTAAAGGTGTGTGCCACCACACCTAGCATTGAGTCTTCATTTTTACAGAGTACAGTGCTGTTCAAACATGGGTTATTTAAATAATAACTACATAAAGAACTTGATTGTTTGGCCAAGATGGCTCACCCAGTAAAGGTGCTTGCTTAAGCCTGGCCACAGAACTGACTTCCCCAGGTTACCCTCTAATGGCAAACACAATAAATACATGTAATTAAAATTTTAAGTATTTAATTCAAAAATACCTTCATTGTTTTTAAGGATGTTTCCTATTCTATGCAACGACAAAAAGGCTGCCTTAGTATGACACAAATATAGACAATAACTGCTGAACAAAGGAACCTTAAGTACTATAAATGTAAGATTGATTAATTGCAAGATGTTAAATTGTACCTCCTCAAATAGTGATTTGCTAGTTACAGATTTACCAGAGATTGGAGTTTGCCTGAAGAGCAGGAAGTACTTGGACATTGTTTTATGATCTTAGATTAAAAGAAGCAATTAGCAAGAACTCATTGGTGGTTTCCTGGAAAGTATGGTCTTTGGTAACTAGGAAATCTGGGGACTAGTACCAGTTTAGTTGCTATGAATTTGACAGATAATTTGTGTTTTAGTTTTTCATCACGTAACAGATGATCTTTTCTACAACTCTAAGCATCTGTTCTGTGAAGATTTTCCAATGATAAAGAATCTAAATCCTGTTCCTGTTCTCACACTCCACATTTAACTTTACTGAACTGCTATTTATATTTGGAGTTTACCTAGTTGAATGATACTGGAATAATGCTTAGTTTCCTAAATGGAGGCCAGTGAGGTGGCTCAGCAGGTAAGACACTTGCTGCACAAGCCTGGAAACCTGAGTTGAATCCCTGGAACCCCATGAAGGTAGAAGGTAAGAACCAACTCCACAGAGTTGTCCTCTGTCCTTCATACACACGATGTAGCATATATCATGTGCATATACAGACACACACACAATGATAATAAGTTTACAAAAAAGATTTCCTAGGCCAGGCATAGTAGCCTTTAATCCCAGCACTTGGCAGGTAGAAGCAGGCAGATCTCTGTGAGTTTGAGGCCAGCCTTGGCTACATATCAAATACCAGGCCAGCTAGGGGTACATAGTGAGACCCTGAAAAAAATCCTAAATGAGGTGTGGAAGAGGAAGCAAATAGAAAAAAGAAGGGAGGCCAGGTATAGTTTGGTGGTAGAGCATATTCTTAGCATATATGAGGCCCTGGGTGCCATTCCTTGCACTGGAACTAAAATGAAAATAATACTAGAAAACAGTACCATAAACTTATAATATGGATGTTAATTGTTTTTCCCAAACCGCCTTATATTTTGATTTCTGGATTTTGGTTTTTGTTTGGGGGGGGGCGGGGGGTGTTGAGACAGGGTATCACTCTGAAATCCATGCTAGCTAGCTAAGAACTCACTGTAGCACAGACTGGCCTTGAACTCTTGGACTTCCTGTGTCAGCCTTCTGATTGCTAAGATTTCCAGGCCTGCTTTACCACACCCAGCCAAATACCAACAGTGTAAATACATTCCATTGTCCTATTGCTTTGTACTTTTATTTACATTTTAAATAATGATCAAAACAGGTCCAGCTTATTAAACTAGTGCTTCTCAGATTTTTCACTTCATCACATGCATAGTGTGTTAATGTCACTAGCCAAAGCTGGAGATTGACCACAGAGGGCGACTAACTCAGGAGCTCTGGCTGTCCACAGTCTCTAACCTAGCAGTACCAAAGAGAGTCCCTACCCTGAGATTTGACTGACCATGTTTGCATATTCAAGATCTTTATTCCAGACTGTGGGCAGAGCAGCAGTGCCATTGATTTTTTTTCCCCCTTAAATCAGTCTCTCTTTGTTATGCTCATGCCTCCTATTGCCCTTAGCTAGTTTCTATTTAAAATATTTGTCCAAGCAGTTTGGTCTTTCTAAAGGTATGTGAGTAGCAGTTAACTGGTAAAGAGAAGTGTTTGTTTTTTTTTGAGGGGGGGTGCTGTGATGTTTTAACCTTGTTAGTCTGTGGGCAATCTTGATCTGCATGTTTGTTCAGAAGTTGTAGGTAATGTGCAAGGACTGTGTATATTGGTTTAAATAGTTTTATTCTTTCTTTTATAAAAGTCATACTTAAAATTTGAAAAATACACAAATTAGAATAGGGAATCATAGTTCTATTTTCAAAATAAGTTAGTATCATGGCTTTTCTCCAGTTATTTTTATTGTTTTCTTTTGTTTGTTTTGTTTTGTTTTTGTTTTATTTTGGTTTGGTTTGGATTGGTTTTGTCTTTTTGAAACAGGGTGTCCCTGTAGCCCCAGCTGACCAGGCACTCACTATGTTCAGGCTGGCCTTGAACTCACAGAGATCCACCTGTCTTCCTCCTGCATGCTGGGACTAAAGGCGTGTACCACCACGCCCGGCTTCTCCAGTTTATCTACTTTTTTCGGCTGTAAAAAAGTACAAAAATATATAGAAATAAGATAATGCATTCTTGTCA